CGAGCTTTAGCTGACTAAAGCTTCGTTCGCTTTCACAGGAAGTGATTGGAAGTGTTAAAGAAATCTGTAAGAGTGTATGCAGGTTGGGAAATTGTAGACTAGAACATGCTTTAAAAGCATCTACTAGTTTCCTTGGTGGATTAGCATCACATTTCCACTTCACCCTCCATAAGTTGTACTCAATTTCAGTCATCAATGGGTGTGGTAAGTCATCCTTGTACAAATCAGCTGCCTCTGCAAGCTCTACTGGATAGCTGTTGCTTTCATCAAGGATAATAGATTCACTTGGTAGTAGATATAAAAGACCACGGGCAGGATTATTCATGAATCTGGTTTGTAATTCAGAAATAATGTGAGACAGGAACTCATCATATAAAGTGATTCTAAAATAATCTTCTGGGTTAGAAGAAGGAGGATTGCTGCGATGTGTTTGCCTTCCTGTAATGCGTGGTATGCAAAGTGTATATTCTTCACCATGTAGTTTTCTCCCTAGCTTGGTTGCATCACTAAATACCTTCTTAAACTCGGCAGTAGAATTTTGTCACAAAAAGTTCATAGTGGTGACAACAGATTGTACAGCATTATAGGCATATACAACATCTATTGCCTGCATTTGGAGTTTCAGTGTCAGTTCTTTCAGAATCTGCATAACTTGAAGCAGAATGTGAAAAGCAACCAAAAATGTTGACGACTGCAGCTGAAAGAGAAAGCCATTAGCTTTTGTGACAGTCTCACCATCCCAATTCCATGTACCAAAATTGCTGTAAAGGGATGGATGGACCATTGCATTAAGAGTTGTATGTACAGCTTCATGAAGGTCTAAAAAGGTGGTATATGAGTCTATTCGTTCAACCCATCGTGTCCTACAAACATCCTTCAATTTCTTGGCTTGTGGTACAGAATGATCCATTTCAATAGCTTCATCTAACAACCTCTGTCGTTTGGCTGAATAAGCAAAAAATCTAGCCAATTCACCTAAACAGGATTCTACATTTCTAAAAGCTTGAATTGAACAAGAGGAAACCACTGCCAAATTTAAGCGATGTGCAGCACAGTGGAAATACTTTGCCAAAGGTGCATCTTGTTGAACAACAGCTTTACATCCAGACCTAGCACCAGACATGTTTGAGGCACCATCATAACACTGGCCACGCATATGCATAACTGAAATGCCATGTGATCTTAGCCATTGAAGAATTGCCTTTCCCAACACTTCGCCTGTAATCCTTTCCACTTCAATAAAATCTACAAACACCTCATTAATCTTCTCATTAAAAACATATCGTAAAACTAGAGAGAGCTCCTCCTTGTTTTCTGCATCAGTGACCTCATCACCAATAATAGAATAAAACATGGCCTGCTTCACTTCATTAATGATTGTGGTTTGTATGTTGTTGCCAATGACACTAATCAATTCATTTTGGATGGTTTTTGACGTGTAAGTGGCATTCCTGGGAGCTTTGGCCAAATGGTTGGCCAAAGTATGATCAGTCTCAGCTCAAAACCTAACTAACTCTATGAAGTTACCTTCATTGCGACCATAGCCTTCGTCTGTCCAATCCACATTGTCATCACGATGGCCACGGAGAGCCAAACCTTGCTTACCACACACAATAACAACCTTCATTAATGATTCAATAACCTTTTGTGTTGCTTTCTATGATCCTACTTGACTCACTATTGAGAAGAGTGCCTATACTTACAGAGGGATCTTCGTACCTGGCTATAAACTCTGTCATTCTTGTAATTGCAGACTGATGATAGTCATTCTTTGCATGGAGATTAGCCTTTTCAGACATTTTGATCCTGGCTGTAAATGGTGTGGTTACAAAGTGGCCAAGTGTGTGACCTGAAACTTGATCTGGAGCAAAAAAAACACAAGCACGGCAGTAAGCTCCATCCACATGATGACTTTAATGAAGCCATGAGTGCTTTTTTACCCATGAAGGTTGAAACTGACGAAATAATGACCTTGTGGACTGATGAGAATGAGTACGTGGATAAGATTCTGGGTGAACATCAGGTTCTGACTTTAAAACACAATAAATTTTGTAACAGACGCTCCTAACTATCTGTTAAGCTAACTTTATTCTTAATCAACACGAAACTCAACTGAGCTCAAAACAAAAACTAACAAAAACTCAAAACTAACACTCACAAACAACACACTTATATAGATCTTATAAATGTCCAGAAGGTTCTATAACATACAAGAATACTTTACATGATTGTTCTAGAATATACTTAAATACACACATAATATATAATTACAATAGTCCACAGAGAGTTCCGGATTCATTTAGAAACAACTTCTTACAAATTTCATCTCTTGAAAGCTGTTTTATATTGGCACATCCATGCAGTTCTATGAGTTTACCAATGTCTGGCTCAAACTGCTCTACACCAATTTGTAGAGAAGTTTCATCATGACCACATTCAACTAAACCTATTATGTACAGATTGTTTTAAAGTAACAAAAATAATGGTGAGACTGAGCTATTACTTGAATCAATTTGTGGAAACTGGCTGGATGTACCAGCCTGATGATTGCCAGTGCTCATAGTGCTCTGAGTTTCACTCGAAGTACCAGTCTGAGTGCACAAAACTACTGTCTCACTCTGAGCAGTATGATCTCCATAATTACTATCATCTGCATAGCTTAGTCAAAAGTATGTTAAACTAGTACTGAACTGACCTACTCTGTCCCTTTTAGAGAAGTAGTTTGTTATACTATTTGATGACTTCCTCTTAGACATATTGCATGTGCAACAGCTGTTTTTTGATAAAAAACCAATTACAATAGCTAAGCTTTTGGGGAAAATTCCTAGTTAAGTAGTTATTTAACTACACTTTAATTAAAACGTTAATTAATCTTACCTCGGGTCCACCTGCCTACCGTGGTCCACCGTCCTCTGTACCGATTGCCTAAACAATGAGACGGTGGCCACACTGCCCTGAGGAAGTGTGGCCAATGTATGGGCCCCACTTCAGCGCCGCCCCCCCAGAATAACCGGGCCTTTCATGCGTTCCGGTCCACCATGCCGGGGGGCTCCCCGCCCACGCAATGACATTCTGTGGGTGGACTAAACCCCCTGGCCTCCCGCCCCCTCATTGTGGTTGCACAAGGTGTGCCTCGAGGGGGAATCCAGAAACCCTCAAGGTGGTCCCACCCATATTCGGGGTGGGGCCAACCATCGGAGGGGATGACCCACAGATTATTATCTAGGGGGCAGAGCTTCCGTGGTGCCCATACTATCACACTGGGAAGGGACCCAGTGGAAAACCTAAACCTACTAGATGTTGGGTGGGTGGTGGAAGAACAATCGGAGGTGCTTCTTCCATGCTTGAAATCCTAAGTGAATGCTGGATGATGCTGGTCACCCACGCATGCGCACAACTGAACTGCTTGGGCGTACAGGTGGGTTGCTACATTTGCATACTACCCACGCCATGCAGTGGGTGCGTGGGCGGTCAACCCAAGCGAGGATGGCCCCTGCTGATTAACTCCATTTAAACCATTGCTCTAAATGACAATAAATTTAACTCCTTATCAACTAGATTGTCTAATTTTGTGGAGTGACTGCTGGACTCAGCCTTGACTGAAATCTTTCTGTACTGCTGTTACTGAGCACTGGAAACTAGTGTAGTGATTACTGAATATAAATGGTTGGCTAGTTTCTTTACTGTAAAGTAAATTGCAATTATTTAACAAAAAAATAAGCAAAGTCTGAGGGGGGGTTCCATGGAACCCATGGAACCCCCCTAAATCCGCCACTGCATTGTATATGTACATGTACATTGTATGTACATTTTTAGTAATTTTAGTACAGGATAAATAATTTTAAGGTACATTTAATGGATAATATTATATAGGCGGTAGCCTATAAGTAGAATTGAGGTTGGTTTTTCAAGATGGCGGCCGTTTTTATGATTTTCAAACACTTATAACTCTTTTATCTTACGTTGTACAGCCTTATAAATGGCTTAGATGAGCTCTCCTTCACTGAGCGATTCTCCTGGTACCTCAAAGTGGACTGTAATGTAGCAGGAGCAATTCTGGAGAATAGGCCCAAATTCAAATTTCTGCAAAATTTTTCAGACTTTTTCTTTTTTCATCTTCTTTTATGCACCCGTTAATCTTTTAAGCCAGAGAAGCGCTCAAGTTGGCTTTTACATCCTTCCTCTAGGCTTGGGTCAAGGACCACAAAGGTAGTTTCAAAAAGAAGCGAGGACAGAGAAGAAATGGCAGACAAAATCCAGCTGCAGACACCGCGTGGGTTTGCGGTTTGATGCCATTTTAATTTATGTGCACGTGATCAGCATGAATATAATTAACCTAACCACAGAATCATAACAGAATGTAATTTATTAATTTAAGAAAAAGAATGGAAACAAGTAAATAAAAAACATTAAAAATGGAAAAGTAGTAGGATTGAATTGGAAAAAAGTAAAGAAACATGAGGTACTTGCAAACTGGTGTGGTAAAAAATCCTACACCACTGCATGAAGAATATAATCCGAAGCATTGCAATTATTGTTAAGATTTAATTAATCGATCTTGATAACTAAGCAACACTTAACCAATAATAATGAGGAGAATAATAATAATAGGAAAGAACAACTAAGAGAGAGAGAAATGTGCGTGCTTATATATATACTAGCAAGATGTCCAGAATGTTCTAGAAGAAGGATACAGACACAAGATCAAGAGACTGAGAGAATAATCTAGAAAGTTCCTGTTTACACAAACAATGAATACACAATAAATAATACACATGTACATACAGTAATAACATGTAGATCTAATCTGTCAAAAGTGGTTAAACAATATCCTCAACACTCCTTCTCACTTGTAGACAGATTAACACAGTCTATATTCATCATTCCGATCATACTTCTCAGTTTCACGAACTTCTCTTGTGACAATCCTTTTGTTAACATATCTGCTAGCATTCTTCCTTGCATGATTCATATTAAACTTCTGTGAATATCCTTGTGCCACCAACCTAGCCTTATAGCGCTCTACCTTTCCATTCTCTCCAATCTTTCGCTTGAATACCCATTTGCTTCCTACTACTCGTCTATCCTTTGGTAGCTCAACAAGATCCCATACCTGGTTTTCTTCCAGAGACTCAAACTCCTTCTGCATTGCATCTTTCCATCTGTCCTTTTCAGTACTGTTTAATGCTTCATTTACAGTAACAGGCTCCTTCTGTAGATCTTCAATAGAGTTTACCCAGATACCATAGTGATCAGGTCGACGAGTTGTTCTCTGTGATCTTCGTAATTGAGTCACATCACTTGTGTTACTTGGTTCTTCAACTTCCTCCGTAACATTATCAGTAGGACTTCAGCAAC